CAGGCAGCTCCTCCTCATCCTCAGCACCCAAAGCAGATGCAAAGCAGCATCCACAGCACCAACAGGAACAGCAGCAGGTTTGCCTCCTCCTCCTTTTCCTTCTCCTCCTCCTCCTCCTCCTCCTCCAGAGAGGAGCAGCCCCAGCTGCTGTGTCCATGCCAGGGCTTGGAGCTGCTCCTGAGGGAGCTGCAGGCAGGCAGGGCTGAGCAAGGGAAGGAGTTGGGGATTTTGGAGCTGCAGTTCCAGCCACAGCTCCCTCCTTGCTGTCCCTCCTCTGTCCCCAGCACAGCTCTGATGGCACACAGGGAATGTCACATCAGATGGGCACAGCAATGCAAAAATGAGTAAAAAACCCCCAGGCTCAGAGCTTATGTAAGTGGGAACGTGGAGAGATCAGTGATGGAAAATGGAAAATCCTGTCACTGCAAGGGGAAGGACTGGCTGGGTCACAGGCAGGAGCAGCCCTAAGGAAAGAGCTCCACCCTCTCCCTGTGCCCGGGCTCTGCCTCCACAGCCCTGCCTGGCATTCCCTGTGCCAGGGCTCCCCTCAGCCTGGGCTAATCCCAGGGATTCACCTGGAGGGACACCCAGCCCTTCCCACCCCCTTTGCACATCCCAGCCCAGGTCTCACCAAGGACCCCACACCAAATTCACAGCAAATCCCCAATTCCTCCCATTCACATCTTACCTCCTCCCCCTGCCTCATTTCCAGCCTTTTTTCCTTCCAAGCCTTTAGAGGAGAGGGTCCCAAAGAGCTTTGGGAAGAAATCCAATTTATGGAGGAGGTGACAAAACTTCCCAGTGTCTGCCCCAGCAGCAGGACAGGGCTCCAGCCCAGTGACCAGAGGGTGTCACATCTCTACAACCCTTTAGTCGAAAAAGACTTCCAAAAATCCTTCATGCAGATTTTAAGACAGTTTGGAAGCCAAGCCCTGCACAGGAGCTCTGCTGGCATTTGGCAGCTTAAAAGAAATGAGGAAAAAGTGGGGAAAAGAACCATTTTGGCTTTGCTGTCCATGTGCCATGGCATGTTCTGCAGTTCTACCCCTGTGTAAGGTGCTGCTTCCCCTGGAGCTGTGTCTCCTTCAGACCATGGATACATGGAATATTGAATAGTGTCCCAAAACCCCCAAAATATCCTGAGCCATAAACACTCCCTGACCCCAAGCAGAGCCTTGTGCATTGGAAATGGATGTTTTGGATGAACTCACCCAGGGATGTGGTAGGGGTTTTCAGGGAAGATGCTCTTTCCCCCGGAGCCTGCCATGATGGTGTTAAAGCCCGTACTGGGCAGGGGGGAAGGAGACACAGCTCAGTGCAATCACCAGGGGAGCTCTGTGATGTCAGCCCCAACAGGTTCCACCTGCAGCACAAACCCCTCACTGCTCCCGGACACAGCTCTGCCCTTACCCACCTTGTTTTGGAGGAGCACAGGGATTGTACAGCCTTTGTCAGGATTCCTGAGGGCCCCAGCCCTGCACCCAGGGCTCCCTGGGAGTGCAGCACAAACACAGCTCTATGTTCACAAACACAGCTCCCTGTTCACACTCACAGGTCCGTGTTCACACTCACTCACAACTCCATGGTCACACTCACAACTCCATGTTCACACACAGCTCCATGATCACAAACAGGATCCATGTTCACACACACAGCTCCATGGGCACACTCACAGCTCCCTGTTCACACTCAGCTCCATGTTCTCACAGTTCCATGCTCACACTCACAGCTCCCTGTTCACACTCAGCTCCATGCTCTCACACACAGCTCCATGTTCACATTCACAGCTCCATGTTCACACTCAGCTCCATGTTCTCACAGTTCCATGCTCACACTCACAGCTCCCTGTTCACACACCCAACTCACACTCATGGCTCCATGTTCACACACACAGGTCCCTGTTCACACACAGCTCCATGGTCACAAATAGGATTCATGTTCACACACCCAACTCACACTCACAGCTCCATGTTCACACTCAGCTCCATGTTCACACTCAGCTCTATGCTCACACTCACAGCTCCATGTTCACACACAGCTCTGTGGTCACAAACAGGATCCATGTTCACACACACAGGTCCCTGTTCACACTCACAGCTCCATGGGCACACTCACAGCTCCATGTTCACACACATAGCTCCATGTTCACACTCACAGCTCCATGGGCACACTCACAGCCCTATGATCACACTCACAGCTCCATGTTCACACACAGCTCCATGGTCACAAACAGGATTCATGTTCACACACCCAACTCACACTCACACAGGTCCCTGTTCACACACACAGGTCCCTGTTCACACTCACAGCTCCATGTTCAGAGTCACAGCTCCATGTTCACACACACAGCCCCATGTTCACACACACAGCTCCCTGTTCACACTCACAGCTCCATGTTCACACTCACAGCTCCATGTTCACACACAGGATTCATGTTCACACACCCAACTCACACTCACAGCTCCATGTTCACACACACAGCTCCCTGTTCACACCCCCCCTGTTCACACCCCCCCGGGGCCTGGCTGCCTCTCCCCCCAGCTGACTGGAATTGCAATTGGAGCTGCAGCCATGCTGCTACTTGAAGTAGTTGTTGTGTTTGTCATGTATGGATAATGGGACTATCAAGTTTAAGTACTTACCATGTAAGTTTTAAACCAGATTTTTCCATCAATCTTGAGTCTTTTTGTAATTTTCTGTGGTAGCTGCTTGCTGCAGAGGTGTGGTTCTTGCAGGACTTTAAAGGATGGAGCTTTAAAGGATGGAGGACTTGTGTGGGTTCCCTTCCCCAGGTGTGAGCCCAGAGCTGTCACAGGCAGCAGCTGCAGGTTTTATTTCTTTGGGGTGTGAGCAGTTGTGAATTCTGCAGAGGAATTCAACCCTGCTGTGATTTCACTGTCACAGATGGAGAAATGATTGAATCAGAGGTTTCCCTGAGCAGATTCAAACTGCCCAAGCCTTCAGTGTGTTTAGGGAGCCCTTGATCCCCTCTGGGGCTGAGGTGGCGCCTCAGGGCAGCCCTGCCTGGGCCTGGCTTGGCCAGGGCTGGGCAATGAGGGATCCCAGGGTGGTTCAATCCCAAACCCTGCCCACAGGAGCTGTTCTGGAGGCAGCAAAGTGCCCAGGCTGTGCCCAGGTGTTCTCCCAGCTGTGCAGGGGGTTCCTGATGTGCTGCTTCTGTTGCAGAACAACTCCAGCCCCACGTGCCTCAGTACAGGTTCCGCAAGAGGGACAAAGTGATGTTCTACGGGAGGAAGATCATGAGGAAGGTGAGGGCACCTGCTGAAATCCAGAGTAAAGCTGAGAGGTGCAAAGTTTGCAGCANCACCTCCCACTGTCCCAGGCTGCTCCCAGCCCTGCCCAGCCTGGCCTTGGGCACTGCCAGGGATCCAGGGGCAGCCACAGCTGCTCTGGGCACCCTGTGCCAGGGCCTGCCCACCCTCACAGGGAACAATTCCCAATTCCCAATATCCCATCCAGCCCTGCCCTCTGGCAGTGCAGATCTGCTGCAGGGTCTGTGCCCTGGGCAGGCCCTGTGCAGAGCCCAGGGAAGGGAGGATGGGATGAACACAGGGGGAGGACTGAGAGAGAGCCCAGGTGTGGTGACAGGAGCCAGCAGGGAGTGTCTGTGTTTCACATGCATGTTCTCCTCTGGCAGCACACACTGCTCGTCAGCTCTCAGGCATGTACAGGCACAGGCCCCTGGTTCATGCAGAAACATGGGTGAGGTCAGGGAGCAGCACCTGTGGATGTGGATGGGAACACTCCCAGCCCAGCCTGGGCTTTGGCAGCACCAACATCCACAATCCCCCAGTTCAAATACCATTTCCAGTTCAACATGCCCCAGTTTAAACTTTGCAGTGCCTCTGTTCTGACACTGTGAGTAACTGAGAAAATCCCAGTGTCTGTTGTTCAGTACTGAAACTCAGAAATCAGAATAATTCCTCTCTTGCACCCTCCTCTCTCTGCTCACAGCAAGGAGGGGGCCCAGGCTGATGAGCCCACCCTGGCACAGGGAAGGTGGTCAGTGCCAGGAACAAACACAGCTCAGTTTTTGGGATCTCTCCCCTGCCCAATCCCCGGGCTGGGCACTGTCACTTGTGGCCAAGGGCAGGGCAGGTGCTGGAGCTCTGAGCCACCATCAGACACTCGAGCTGTTCCAGTCTCACATTTCCTAATGCTGATGCTATTCCAGCACTGAAGGAAGGAAGAGCAGCCAGTTGCAATGGACAGAAATGTTCCATCAATGAGCCCAGCGTGGATCCGGGGCTACAGCCAGATGATGCATGAGGATCATAAGATGATGAGTAAGTCCTTTCCCTTCCAAATAGTTTAAACAGCAGCCAGCAGAGCTGTGCATTTACTCTGGGCAGGTTTCCCCACTCTGCATGCAGGATTCCTCCTGGTGCCTCATCCCCAGGGGTTCTCAATGATAAACTGAGCAAGGGCACAAATGACACAGCCCAAATAATTACAGGATGGCTGGAGGGATTTTGATCCTGGACAAAATAATGGCTGGGCTGAGAAAGGGCCCTGTTCCCCTGCAATTAAACAGAGATCACCTGAGCCAGGGTGATCTGCCATGAGGGAGGCACAGGTGAGTCCTGGGGCAGGATCATCCTCAGCAGGGCTGGTTGTGTCCCATGCTGGGGGTCAATGAGGGACCCCCTTTTGGGGAGCCCTGTCTGGGCTCAGGCTGTGAGCAGTGAAGCCCCTCTGGCCCGGGGCTGAGCCCTCTCACCCCCCTTGCTCAGCCCTATCTCCTCCATCACCACTCCCAAACCTGCTCTGCCTCCCTGCCAAGCACAGCCCTGGCCCTGGGCCATCCTCGCTTGTCTCCAACCCTCCCAGCTCTGCAGAGCCAGGCTGTGCCCAGGAATCACGGACTGAGCCCTTCCCTGCCCACCCAGACCCTCCCAAGCCATCCCACTCACTGGGTTTAGGCTTCCTAGTGGCTTTTCCAAACCCCTGCTGTGGCTTCCCAGTCCCTGAAGCTCTGTGGTGGCTTTCCAGACTCCTGCTGTGACCATTGCCTGCCCTGATGACACCAATGTGCTCTGGGGCTCTCTTTGGGGTGTTTGTAGCTCCTCTGGCACAGGGGGTGCAGCACATGGGACACCCGGGGACATCTGGACACAAACCCTGCTCCTGTGACAGCCCAGTGCAGGCTCTGCTGGGGATGCCCTCCAGGCAGCTCCTCCTCATCCTCAGCACCCAAAGCAGATGCAAAGCAGCATCCACAGCACCAACAGGAACAGCAGCAGGTTTGCCTCCTCCTCCTTTTCCTCCTCCTCCTCCTCCTCCAGAGAGGAGCAGCCCCAGCTGCTGTGTCCATGCCAGGGCTTGGAGCTGCTCCTGAGGGAGCTGCAGGCAGGCAGGGCTGAGCAAGGGAAGGAGTTGGGGATTTTGGAGCTGCAGTTCCAGCCACAGCTCCCTCCTTGCTGTCCCTCCTCTGTCCCCAGCACAGCTCTGATGGCACACAGGGAATGTCACATCAGATGGGCACAGCAATGCAAAAATGAGTAAAAAACCCCCAGGCTCAGAGCTTATGTAAGTGGGAACGTGGAGAGATCAGTGATGGAAAATGGAAAATCCTGTCACTGCAAGGGGAAGGACTGGCTGGGTCACAGGCAGGAGCAGCCCTAAGGAAAGAGCTCCACCCTCTCCCTGTGCCCGGGCTCTGCCTCCACAGCCCTGCCTGGCATTCCCTGTGCCAGGGCTCCCCTCAGCCTGGGCTAATCCCAGGGATTCACCTGGAGGGACACCCAGCCCTTCCCACCCCCTTTGCACATCCCAGCCCAGGTCTCACCAAGGACCCCACACCAAATTCACAGCAAATCCCCAATTCCTCCCATTCACATCTTACCTCCTCCCCCTGCCTCATTTCCAGCCTTTTTTCCTTCCAAGCCTTTAGAGGAGAGGGTCCCAAAGAGCTTTGGGAAGAAATCCAATTTATGGAGGAGGTGACAAAACTTCCCAGTGTCTGCCCCAGCAGCAGGACAGGGCTCCAGCCCAGTGACCAGAGGGTGTCACATCTCTACAACCCTTTAGTCGAAAAAGACTTCCAAAAATCCTTCATGCAGATTTTAAGACAGTTTGGAAGCCAAGCCCTGCACAGGAGCTCTGCTGGCATTTGGCAGCTTAAAAGAAATGAGGAAAAAGTGGGGAAAAGAACCATTTTGGCTTTGCTGTCCATGTGCCATGGCATGTTCTGCAGTTCTACCCCTGTGTAAGGTGCTGCTTCCCCTGGAGCTGTGTCTCCTTCAG